TAAAAAAAAGACTGTGGGGGCCGGCCCGGTGGCGCACTGCTATAGTGCGCCGCTTGGGAAGCGTGGTAGCGCTCCCGCCGAGGGTTCGGATCCCACATACAGACCGGCTGCTCACTGGCTGAGCGAGGTGCGGGTGCAACACTGAGGGTTGCGATCCCGTTGCTGGTCCCGGTCCGGTACGGGTGCGACACTGAGGGTTGCGATCGTTGCCGGTCACGAAAAAAGACAAAAAGGAAAAAAAAAAAAGATGTGGATAAACAACTAGGTTAAATTTTTAAAATCTCATAAACTAGTTACCCAGAAACATCTACTATTAGCACTTCATTATATCTTTATAGGCTTAAAAATCTTGACCTTACATGAAAATTAAATTGAATCATAGATCTAAATATAAAATCAAATTAATACTACAATGAGATACAACTGCACATCTTCTGGATACTGCTACACACCCCTTAGATTGGCAGAAATTAAAACACTGTCTATACCATGTGTTTGCAGGGTGTGGAGCAGCTGTAAAATTCTTTTATATTGGTGGTAAGAATGTAAAATGATACAACTACCAGTTCCTCAATTTGTTAGTTTCTTTAAAAGTTAAATATACTTTCTTTATTACCCAGTCATTTCACTCCAAGGTATTTACTAAAGAGAAATGAAAGCATAAATCCATATAAAGACTTACACATGAATGTTTCTAGTGCCTTTATTTATAATTGCCTGAAAATGGAAACATCTCAAATGTCTAAGAACAGGTGAATAGATAACAAATTGTGATACATTCATATAAGAAAATACTGTTTGGCAAAAAAAAGTGATGAAGTACTGATACACACAACATTATCTACTGAGCAAAATAAGCCAGACACAGAAGAGCAGATACTATATGATTCCATTTATGTGAAACCTTAAAAAAAAAAGAGTAATCTATTATGAGAGTGTAATTTTCTAGGGCTAGAGTTTGCAAGGTTGAGATTGGCTGGAAGGGGAGCTTGATGGAACTCTTTAGGGTGATGGAACTATTTTATATCTTTATTGTGCCAGTGGTTACACAAGTGTATAAATTTGTCAAATCTAGTTGAAATGCATACTTACAATGGGAGAGAGTTTTAAAAATACATTCAGGAAGGTGGTCTTCCTCATTTAAAAAAATCCATATTTCCACCTTCTCTTGAAAAGTTGGAGGATCCTACTCCACTTGGTTTTCATTCCTGCATGGCAATGATCAGTTTCAGGATTAAATGAAAAGCTTGGAGAGGTCCAGGTACACAGTGAGCTGTTAACAAGAAAAGCTCATTCATCTCAGCTTCCAAATGATTAGAATCTTTATTTAGAGTGGAGTATATTACATTTGTTCAAAATTATTTCTTTATTTTCTAAAAGTTACAGAAGAATTGTCTTCTCTCCTTAACCAATTCCAGGATTCTTGTGGATGTTCCATTTGACAGGCAAGTATAAAACTTGATCATCTGATTGGGGTATTGACCAATGTTACCCTGAGCATTTTTGGCTTTTGGTTATTAGTTTAGCAAGGGCCTGATTAAGGTTAGGTAGGATAAGGTATTTGGAGAGAAGGCTCTGTTGAGCCTCTTCCACAGAAAGGTGATTAGAAGTACCCTATTTACAAATATTATCTCCCAGAGTGATTCCAGTATAGGGCAGTGGGTGAGAATGTAGGCTCCAGACAGTCAACACACAGTTGGACTCAAGTTCTAGCTCTTCCATTATCTTTGTGTATGTTTCCTCATTTGTAAATTGAATGTAATTCTCTTGTGAGAATTAGATATGATTAATGTTTGTGAAGTACTTATAACAGTGCCTCACTTAAGTGTAGTCTGTCCTAAAGAATATTAGTTATTTTTATTTATTATTTTCTTACTTAATTAGTAATAATTTTGATTACCGTCATCCTAGACATTCCAGAGGGATTCCTTTGAGACCTTTGTAATTTTCCAGATTCATGAGTTTAAAAACATAATAGTTGCTGCGAAGTGCAGAACGCTGACATGAGCAAAGCCTCTGATTTGTGGGTACAAGGTTGTAGGCCATTCTCTAGCTGAGTGATTTGTGCTACAGCATTTTAGCATTGTCTGCAATTCAGATTACAAATTACTAGCTCTCTGGGAACTCCTTTTCTATTTCAGACCCATTGTAGTGGAAACTGAATGCTAAAAAAATAAGTTTTCTCTTGGATCTGCTCTTGTTTCTTTGAATCCTTTGCATTTTGCTCACATTCTTATTTGCATACTCTCCTGTTCCCTTCCTGGCCTGCTCTCTTTGCCAGATGCACTTGGTTCTCATAGCTGAGGCTTTAACAGTTCAAGACTTTTTGTTACAGGATTTGCTAGGCGAGGCAAATGATTTTTCCCCGCCTTCTACAGTTTTACAAACTTTATGTAATAGTGAAAAAAAATACTGCTTTTCAGGTTTGATGCTGCCAAGTTTGTTATGAGATGGCTCTGTAAGCCTGAGAACCCTAAGATGCAAACAATGGCAGTAAGCATCACTTCTATTCTAGCCCTGCAGGTATGTGATAGCTTAAAGAAAAGATTTCTCTCTCCTTACTCTTGATAAAGGGATGTTTCACTTTTGTCTTTCTGTTTGCTTATAGCTTTCACCTGAGCAAAATGCTCAACTTAAAGAAGAGCTCTTCATGGCAGTCAAGGTAAGTTGATGTCACTTTTATAACCTGTTTTTAAAATCAAAGTAACTTATGAACATAGTTTTTTTTTTTTTTTTTTCCTTTTTGTCTTTTTTACTGACCGGTAACGGGATCGCAACCCTCGGTGTTGCGCCCGCACCGCGCTCAACCAGTGAGCGGGAACCAGTCTCCACATGGGATCCGAACCCTCAGCGGGAGCGCCGCCACTTGGGCCAGTGCGCCACCAGGGCCCTATGAACTCTCCAGTGCGCCACCGGGCCGGCCCTATGAACATAGTTTTAAATAACCAAATCATTCTAAAAGTTCTGTTAAAATGAAAAATCTGTAAGATCTGCTTTTCAAAAAAAACTTTCTACTCTTATAGCTATTTTTTTTAGTATTTACCTCCATATTTCTAAATAAAATTCTTATACTGTGCGGTAGACCCCTTTTTTCTGAGCGGGATATATTCCAAGACCCCCAGTGGATGCCTGAAACCACATATACTGTTTTTTCCTGTACATACATACTTATGATAAAGATTAATTTATAAGTTAGGTACAGTGAGAGATTAATAACTAATGATAAATAGAACAATTATAACAATATACTGTAATGAAAGTTATGTGAGGGTAGTCTCTGTCTCTCGCTCTCTCTCTCTCTCTCTCTTGCTCTCTCTCAGAGTATTATCATATTTTCAGACAGTGGTTGACTGTGGGTAACTGAAACCCTGTAAGCAAAGCCATAGATAAGGGGGGACTACTATAATTTCTTGACTTAGCAGTTTTTAGGTGTCATCAATTGATTTTGCTGCTAAGGTAAATAAGCATTTAGCTCTCCTACATATATTTCTACAAATTACTTCCTTCCCCAGTCTGCAGCAAATTTATATATATATCACAATTTTTTTTTTTTTTTTTTTTTTTTTTTTTTTTTTTCCGTGCCCGCCAAGGGAC